GGGAATGACGCCGAGAGTGGAGCCCTTCCACCTAGCGAGGCCCCCTCCCAATGAAGCTCACAAAGTGAAATGCAATGCTTTATTTTAAAGAATAAAAACGCAATTACCTAATTCTCACAAGAGAACCAAGCTGGCACTGCCACTACCATTTCTATTGGCCAGTCTGTAAATTCGGGCAGCTACCCTGACTGCCCGAACCTTTCATCTCACTAACACTTCTTCTTCTATATAAACATCCCTTCCCCTTTCAATTTCTATCATTCGCCTCTTTTCTCAGTACAGTGAGTGATCTAAACAAAACCCTAACACACCTAAAAGAAAATAAGCTGAAGCACCACCACCAATGGCTTCCTCTAAAGTCGTAATCATGGCCACAATGGCGATTCTTATCGCCGTCGTCGGCGCTGCTCACGCTGCCGAATCTCCGGCTCCCAGTCCAACCTCCCCCGCCACCGCTATCTCCCCGTCTTTCGTCGCTGGTTGTTTTACCGCCGCCGTTGCTCTCGTCTTCGGATCTGCTCTCAGGATCTGATCATGCGGTCTGGAGCTGATGGATTTTATATTTCTTTTTATTTTCTTCGGCGTGGATTTACTAGACTAGTAGTATATAGTTCTCTCTGTGTTGGTGCTATGCAGAGGCTTTATGTTTTCGTTTCTGGATCTTCAGCTATTTTGTGATTTCGAGAGTATTATGATTTGTCATCATTGTTTTGGTACATAATGGATTTCTTTCATATTCAAAGTTGTGCCTCTTTCAATTCTTTTTTAATTATGTATTTTTCTTTTTTAAATGTCGCTTTGAGTTCTTGGTGTATGCTTAATTGTTTCATATGTACGCGTAAAGTTGCTAGAGTTCGAGGAGAAAGGTATTCGAACTCATTTTCTTTTTCAGTTAATGCTCGCGATCATCAACGTTGCAATCGTTATAATTTGTTTTGGAATGGGTGAAATGACATTAAAATTTTGGTAAAAAACATTTTCTGCTCTATATTTGAATTTGCGTTATGAATCATTCCAAACCTCTTAGTATTAAACCTTTTATGATTAATTAATTATTATCGGTGTAATGACAATTTATGTTGAACGGATGAGATACGATTTGACGTGACATGTCTGTTAAAATATTATATTTTGATATTAAATAATATTTATTTTGGGTTTTATAAGAGTTATGTTATAGGAAAATTGATTCTATAATGTTATAGAGATTTATTTTGCGTGCCATAATTTTTTTTTTTTGCTTTAAAAAGTGTGGGCTCCACAAAATGTTTGTGTATGTAGGAAAAAAAATTTGGTCATATTAAAAGACAAACTAAAACTCCATTTATTTTATGTAGTATATATTATAAGTGATTTGTATTTGTCATTTAACATGATACAACAAATTTTCTTACCCATAATATTTTGTGGGGTCCACATTTTGAAGAAAAAAATTAAAAAAATTATGGAACGCAAAACGAATCTCTATAATATTACACAATCAGTTTTTTTACGACATAAAACCCATATTATGAAAACATAAAAGATAGTAAATATTTATTATTATATTTTTAAATTAAATTTCTTATACATTTTTCAGTGAAATTTATTTGATATTTATTTTTAATTTTTATTATATTAATTTAACAAAATATTAATTAAATTTATTTCATAATATGTAATAAAATTTTAAATATTATTGATATCGATGTGTGTTGAAATATATTGTACACACGATAGATCAGGTGATGCAACATAGATGGCAATGATTTTTATAGGTAACGTATTTTTCTTTTCGTATTTCATATTTTAGGATAAAAACTTGCAGTTCACGATTTTTTCTAGAACAGAACAGAATACGAAGTTTGTGGTCGCTATTCTTTAATACTTTTAAAGGTGCTTTGATTGTTCCTCTTTTTTTTGGGGGTAAAATTTATTCTGGGACACGAAACTTATCAATTAAGTGTCAACGGTCAATGTAACTCATGCTTGACTTGCGAATAATATGGTAAAAAATTGGAACCGTTATTTAAAAAATCATAAATTAATATAATGACGTGATATTTTCAAGAAAGGGAAAATTAATATAATAATTTTGACAGAAAATTTTTTCTGTAATAAAAACAGAAATATTAAACACTTTACAAAAAGGGTTTGGTGTTTGTTATCTTAAATATTAGTTATGTCATTTTAAGAGAGAGATAAACACAAAAAATGAATATCAGTGGAGAGATTTTAAATAAAAAATTATTTTCTTGTATCTATCTCTCTCTTTAAATGACAAAAACTTTTCTCTTAAAAAAATTATTAAAAATGTATTCTTTTGTGTCAATAATTGTTTTTAAATCAAGGGTTAGCTTTTTCTGAAGTTACTGTAGATAAGTTATCTGCAGTAAGCTCAATACGACGTCGTTTTAGGACGAAAATCATGATGTTTTTGTAATTTTAATTTATTTTAAGGTTATTATAGTCTTTATAATTATAATTTTCTAATCTTTCAATTCCAAAATGACGTTATTTTAAAAGTAAATACAAATAACAATCATGATATTTTTGTAATTTTAATTTATTTCAAAGTTATTATAGTCTTTATAATTATAATTTTCTAATCTTTCAATTTCAAAACGACGTCATTTTAAAAGTAAATACAGATAACTTATCTGCATTAACTGCATAAATATTTTTCTGTTAAATCAAATCAAAACTTTGAAGTTAAAAAGCAAAAGGGAGTACAAAATAAAAGTCTCCAAATATAAATTAAAAAAATACTCAAGATAACTAGCTGGTTTGTTTATGATTATTAATCTTCTGCGTGTCGGACACGCTATTTTTTTTTTCAAATAATGCGTGTCGGACACGTATCGGACATCGACATATTCTGACACGCGGTTAATGCTTTGACACGTAGTCAATTTATTTTTATTATGAAATTTGACATGAAAAATTAACAAGGTATGAAAAATTATTTTTGTTTATATTTATGTTTTGAAATTTGAATATTTAATTGATTACATGACTTATTATGGGTGTTATATGTATTAAGGAAAAAATATTTATGCAGTTAATGCAGATAAATTATCTGCATTTATTCCCAAAACGACGTTTTGTTATTGAAATCTTAAAAAATTATAAATATAAAGACATTTATAACCCTGAAATAAATTAAAATTACAAAAACACCATGATTTCCATTCAAAATGACGTCGTATTGGGTTTACTGCAGATAACTTATCTGCTGTAACTGCAGAAAAATCGAACCCATATATTAAATATAAATTATATTATATATATTAAAAGGGAAAAATGTTTCTGCAGTTAATGCAGATAAGTTATCTGCATTTATTCTTAAAACGGTGTCGTTTTGGGATGAAATCTTAAAAAATTATAATTATAAAGACTATTATAATCCTGAAATAAATTAAAATTACAAAAATACCATGATTTCCGTCCCAAAACGACGTCGTATTGGACTTACTGCAGATAACTTATTTGCAGTAACTGCAGAAAAAATAAACATATATTAAAAATATTATTTAATATCAAAACGTATCCCAACATGTCAAAATATGATATTTTTTAAAATTAACGTTTCAGTGTGTCGAGTGTCCGTGTAACATAGTTTGCCATCCCAAGGTCCAAGAAGAAGAATATAGGCACGGATTTATGATCGAAGTGTTAGGGAGAAGTTTTTTTGGGAAAAATGATTAAGCTTTTAAGAGAATTTGTTACTGACACCTTAACTTCGCATATGATCAAAGACTATCATCGTCACCCTCATACAAAAATAAAATAAAATGGAACAGAGCAGATGACAAATGCTTTAGTATTCAACGCTCACTTTTTTTATTTTTATTTTAATACACTGTGATTGACTTGATTGAGATATTAAGTTGCTGGTTCAACAGATGAATCACAGATTAAATTAGTTTATCTGAGTAAATATAAGAAAATCTATATTTTATATTTATAAATCCACAAACATACTCTAATACATATAAATCAGTTCCAAATATTTTAATATAGAAAACAATAATATTCTATATATAAATCACACGCCATTCTCCAACAAATATATAATTCTTGTCACATGTGCTAAATTTATCATATATCACAAGTGTACAACATGAACTCTTGCTACTATTAAGAAAAAACAAACAAATCAAATGAGTTTGGTCCTTTGGAGAAAGGATTGGACCTTTTGGGAGGAATATTGTATAAAAGTTTGCAAGAAGTTCACATTTTTTTTAATAAAAAAAGGCTTATAATTTCTCATGTTGCATGAGAAATTCAAGTTTTCCTATAAAGAGAGAAAGGGGTGGGCCCCACCTTAAAGAAGAAAATAAAAAATAGAAAAATGATTGGTACGGATATCGAAGTGAGAGTGGTAGGAGATGAGACTTCTCATACAACTGTTAAGTGAAGACTAGAGAGACAGATGACTCTAAGTTTAGAATATATATGGGTTCCAAGAAACCCTAGCCCTGAATGAATTTTAGGTTTCTTGAGCTCTTCTTACACACTGGACCCTATTGGACTTTAGTGAAAGAGCAAAACTCAAGTTGTGAATGATGTAAAATATTATTTTTTGTAGACCCATATTGTTTTTAGAATACTATGTTCTTTCTATTAAAAAAATAATAATGTCCCGTGAAGCTTTTCCCAAGTTCTAAAAGTGTAAAATTCTTTGTTAATAATAACTAGAGTGCAAAAATTCAAAAGAAAAAAGGCGGTAAATTATAATTTTGGCTTTCATCACATATAACCAACTTGTATGAAACAATGACTTATGAATTGTCTTTTACTATAGCCTTTTATACTTTCTTGAGATGTAAATCGGTGAAACTTATTTTAATAGTGGTCCAGCCATGGCTCCACAATGGACGTGTAAGTACGACAAACCATTGCCATAAGGCCATCCTTCACCATCATTCATCAATACGGGTCCCTCATCATTCGTAATTCCGGGGCAGCTTTTTAGTTTCCAGACAAAAAAAAGAAAAGAATAGTATGAAATCATCAAGGCGAGGAAATTAAGAAGTACCAAAACTAAAATATTTATATTTCGATTTTGATTTGTTGGCAAGCAGATGGGATGCCATGATTTACAATATCCGAACATTTCTTACATCCTCAGCCAACAACATTAATCATCTCATCATCCAAAGTGCCCTTTCCTCATTGATTTCCTTCTATTCAGAGTCCGAGTCCATGTTGCCCATTGCTTTCAACCCTCTTGGCCTCTGCGTCAACAATATACAAATTATATTTCATTATTTACGAGCGACAAAAATATTACCTACAAATTATTTCTGGCCTCTGGGCCGTTTGGATAGACCTTTTTTTTTATCTCCAAAACTTTTTTTTAGGAAAAAAAAAATACTTCTCATTATAAGTTCATTTAAATGTCAGCTTAAAAAAAATAGAAGTAAAAAAAAAAGAAAAGACAAAAAACCTATTTTTTATAAGCTAAAAATTTAGCTTTTAGAAAAAGCAAAAGTCAGCCAAATTTTTTTTTCAATTTTTAAAAAAAATATATAAATAACTATAATTTTTGTAAAAAAATATTTCTAAAATAAGCCAAGCATAAAAATTACATTTTTTAAAAAGGCCAAACAAACGAACTTTGAATCACGGATTGCAGAAGCAGATATTCCATATTATTTACCTTTTTGGATATCTTCTTCTCCCTAACCTCATATCGTTCCAGGGTAAGATCGCACAGCCATGCGCCTGGACTTACGAGCTGCAATCCATATCAAAATGCATACCATCAAAATAAGACAAAGAAAGGAAAATAAAAATTAATAAAATAAAGAATAAAGGTTATGGTTGATGGAAAGCCGTTGTCAGAAACTATAAATATAGGGGAATGATCTGTTTAGAAACTTTTTTTTACGAATTACACTAAATATGATCAGTCATACATTCTTAATTGAAGTATGATCAATCATATGATCAGTCATACACTCTTGATTAAAGTATGACCAATCATACTTAGTGTAGTTTGTAAACAAAAAATCTATAAATATAACCTTCTCCATAAATATATGCCAACAAAGGTGGAGACAGGTAGTTAAGGGTGTGGGTTCAAATCGCGATTGTTGATGTGAAAACTTTATTAGTGGATAATATATAATCCCTTCTGAAAATCATCAAAAAGGTTAAAGATCTTCCCTAACCTTAGGGGTCTTCTCTTAACGAGATACCAATTTTTAACTCCACTTGAACTTTTAGTTAAAAAAAAAACTTTAAACATATAAGGTTTGAACACGTGGGAGGTGGAGACTAACTGAGAAATATTTAAGTATTTTGTGATTGAGAGTAATTCTTTCAATGATTTAAATCTTAATTAAAATTTAGTTATATAACAACGTTATAAATTTAATTTACAGAACCATTTCTTTACTAAGTGTTATACTTTCCCTAGATTTGAGTATCACTCTCATTTCTTTACAGAACACGAGAATTTCTCCAACTAACCGGTTCCCATTTCAATTTGTCGGTTAGTGGAACGTGTGGCATTTTATTGATAAGTCTATGTAGAATTTGGATCTTCTTATGTGAAAAAATGGTCATGTGATCATTTGATCACAAAAATTTATTGATAATGAGATAAGAGAAAAAATAATATATGATTTTTACATGACTAATTGTGATCAAATAACATGACCAATTTTTCACGTGAAATGATCCAAATTCATCCCTGTAACACCTATTCCATCACGGCCATCCTCTACAACTGGCACCACTCATTCAAATTACAGGACGTAATCCAATAAGTTCGCTCCTACTTTCTAAAATATACGCCCAAGTGTGCCCAACCGCATCACCACCACACCGCATACATCTTCTGGTGTTTTTCCTGTCTTTCACATAATTCAATTTTTTTAAATAAAAGTTTATTGAAAGTACAGACAGGCCTGGGGACCAAATCCATGACAGCCCAACTATGGTTAGTGTTGAATAAATCAACACCAAGTGGCCAAGTATGTCAAGAATAATTAATCTATCTGTCGTGATCCCACCACTAATATAATAATAGCGTAATAGTTTTATTTATTTATATTAAAATGTTTGCCTAAGAACACAGATTTGTTTTCCTTCATTAGGCAACCGAATTTTAAGTACCAAGTTTAGGGTAAGAAAAATTTTAAAAGGCAGTTACATTAAAAAAAAAGAAAAAGCAACGGAGTTAAAAATTAGCAAAAGTCACAAGTACGGTCCACAATTATTAGCTGACACGGGGTAGGTGTGGGCATCAAATTCAAGTACTACTTTAGTTTTTTCCCTACTTTAATTATTATTTTATCATAACAGTGAAAAAAAGGAGTTGATTTTCGCTTTTATAAATTTTGGTTTCGATAATGCCCGTCCACCATCCAGGCTTAGGTCATTTCTATAAAGGGCTGTTTGGTAGTTTGGTCGAGGGAATTTTTTGATATTTCTGAAAAAATGATAATGGTAATATGATTTATCCATATTTGGTATAAAATTTCTGAAAAAAAAGAAGAGAAATCTTATTTTCCCAGAATTTTATTTTATGTAAAAATTTTCTTCCAAAATATCATTCAAAGATATAACCAAAATGGTGGTTTTCTTGGAATCTCAAATGATGAAAAAAATTTACACTTTTTTGGTGACAAAATTCCGATAATATTCTAATCTACCAAATAGATTTTTGGTAATATTTCCGAAAAAATAATTTTTCTACCATATTCTTGAGAATTATAACTCTTTGACATGAAAAAACTTTGGTGCGAGGCCTACGCTAAGTGCCAGTAGACTCCTCTAACAAAACTTTGGTCACTATTCGATGTGCAACCAAGCTGCCCTGACGCGTGTAAGCCAGTCCACAGCTGCCAACCATATATGGCTTTTCCAGGGAAAGGGCCAAATAAAATACAAAAGGGAAAAGGGACGCTCACCGTACTGGAGCCTAGAGAATAAAGAATAATAACACCACAACTCACATACTAAAATTTAAATATGCTTCAGTTGGTTTCACATCCACTCTAATATTATTATGCTAACTTAGACAACAATTTTTTGCAGCAAATTATACCATCCTTCTTGTTGTTGAATACCACCCACAACTTCTTAAAGCTCTACCATCGAAATTCTAAAATTTTATCCGTGATTAAGTTTTTTTTTTTTTCTTTTAGTTATCATTGTATGAATCGTTCTAGAGCATCAATTTATCAAAGCTAAGATTTGAGGTATGTGGCATAATAAACAAAGGTTCATATAGAAGACTAAATGAATAATTAACTTGAACAAATTAAAAGCGGAAAAAGGAAAGAGCAGAAAAAGGGGACGTGGAGCTTACATTGAGGGTGCGTTGTATGAATTTAGCTCTCTTCTTGGGCCTCTGAGGCAGCTTTGACCCTTTAATGGCGAGAAAATCTTCTTCCTTCTCCTTGTTGGTCAAGGCAATCACGAACTTGGGTGGCCACACAGGCGGAGCCGCATCCCCGCTGCCGGACGGCGACGCGCCCTTCTTGCTATCGTGCGCGGTAGCCGATGAGGCCGCTGACTTATTATTGTCATTAAGGTGGTTGTTATGGGTCCCCCTCTTATCGTGCGCACCCCTGTCCGGTGAGGCAATTCCCCTGACACCCCCGTTGCTTTGCCCTCCTCTCATAGCACTTGAAGTCTCCAAGTTCCTAAATTACAAACGAAAAAAATAAAAATAAAAACTCAAGGCACAACCCACATCTAATTATCCTTTGTATCTTTTATTAATCGTAAGAGTACGAACATGAATCACATCACACACGACGACATAATAAATAGGGAAAACAAAGATGCATTGAGTGGTTATTTTGGAGTAAAATATGTGAAAAGTAACTGAGTGGTGGAGAATTTACGAAATTAACCTTTAGGGGGTTGATCTAGTGGGTAGAAACTGGAATCTAGACGGGTTTTTGCGTAGAATATGGGCTTGTTTTTTGGCTCCTTACGGGACTTTATATTTCTATTGTGCTTTCAAGAAGGATGCTAGTTAATTTCTTTTACTTAATGGAATGACGAGGTTTGGATTTGATATTTGAGAGACCAAAGAGAGAGAGGGTGTGGTGTGGGTGTGGGACATAGAGAGAGGGTTTGTGTGTGTGTGTGTGTGTGAGATTCCCTATATCGGGCACAGCAGGTTTTGGAACCGTTGGATTTAGATTGCTTTATTGGCTAATGAAGATCAAGATTGCTACGTGCTGAAATGTTGGATAGGACGGACCAGATCTACGGCCTGATCTCTCCTTAGAGAACACGTGGAAGGAGAACGTCCATTCCCTGTTTCCAACAGTGTTTAGTAATTGATATGTGAATAATAAGGTGGTTCTGGTTCCGCATCGTAGATGTAGATCCAGAAGCTGCAGTTGGGCTATGGTCTACGATTATTGAATTAAGCTCGTTCTTACTCTTCTCTCTAAATTGAAGGATTTCTTAATCGACTTACATCGTATAAATGCCATCACATGAATAACAAGCAAAAACAGACAAAAGCATAAAAATAAATGTCACAATAAATAAAGTTCCAGACGAAGACTTGAAAGAGGGGGAAAATCTATCTTCACATCTTTTACGTCGATTTTCCATACAAACAAAAATAAAATAAAATAAATCAAATATACAAAAACCTAAAAACGGCGATGGCATACCATGCCGAACACCAACTAAAACCTCAGAAATATCAAATTCCGTGTTAGACATCAGAGGCTAAGCATCGAAGATTCTCACTGGAGAATCAAGGAAGGAGACGAGGGACTGAAAATAGGAAACAAATACATCAGGTACCTCCCCACCAAAGATTTACAGCCAAATCTACCAATAAAGACTTATAGCCCAACTATGTGTCTGCTTTGTTTGAGCCTTAATATCACATGGTCAATCCTAACTCAGGAGCCAATATTAATATCCTATTACTGTGAGCTCCTTTTTATTCTTTAATTTGGATGAGACATCCGCGAGGACCTAACCAATTGAAGAGTGGACAAAAATATAAGCCTCATATATTCAGCCCAAAAATCATTTACTGGTCGCTCAAATTTTGTATATACAGTAACTGAGTAACATTAGAAGCTGAAGATTCTTTGCCTGACATGAGACTAACCAAGTTGCCCCCATCCCATGTATCCGGCCCCCCGCGGGAAATTTCGTGGCACACATGGGGCGAAACAAATTCAAAGATAGTTCCACACATCTGCCCCACTACTAGCCACTGTACACTTTTCAACTAATGGGCACGCCAGCCATGCTTTTTCTATGCTACTTTTTTTTTTTCTATTGTACCGAGAAACCACCGTTTACTTTGTAACAAGTTAAATCAGATATTTGACACAAACAATGTGCTGGATTCGAAATTAACTCTATAGCAAAATTTTATTACGGAATATTGCCATTGATAAAAACAAAGAAAACACTTGTCTTTTGCTGAAAATAAACCCAGAATACATACATGTACAAGATAGTTCTACAATCCCATCCTAACTCTCGTTTATTTATTTATTTAACATAACAAAACAAAAAGCTGGCCCACGCACCGGTGCGCCACCTACACGAACCTTGCCCTCAAGATAAGCATGGATACTCGAGAATAAAAAAGTAAAAGGTAATAAAAAATTAAATAATGATTTTTTTTTTGTTTTGATAACAAAATAATGATTTTTAAACTTTCGAAAGATAATACACACAAAATCCAATTTATATCCCGTTTTATTTAAACTTATTTTTCTAAACAAGTCTGAAATCTTGCCAATTGCCCTAAACTCAGATCCCATTTCATCCGATCTGAGTCTTAATGGGAATAAATAAAAACTAGAGATTAAAGCATATTTCATTAATTCGTAAAAAGCAAGGCAAAGATAAAGTGTAGAGTAATACGGTAACAGGGGTTACCTTAGAATTCGTTGCTGCGGGGAAGATGGGCGCTGACGGAGATTTGGATGGCCGTTACTGTGATGATGATTATTATTATTATTATTATTATTATTATTATTGACAACAATTGTGGTCTTATTTAAAGAATCCTTATCGGTTCTAACGACCCGGCGATCGACCCGGACCGTTGTCCTGTGAACCGGGGCGGAAGAATCGTCCTTGTCCTTGACCTGCACCTTCATGCACCTTAACCGCTTCCGGTTCCCCCACTGCAGCACCAAATCCGACGTCGTTGTCTGCTGCCTTATGCTATCGGAACTCGCCCTCAACAGCAACGACCCTTCCCCTCCTCCGCTTTTCTCTCTAACGCTAACGCTACTGATGTTGTTATTTTTGCTATTGCTTCCAACAACTGACTCTTTATCCATCTCCTCTTCCTGCCATCATCATTGCCAAGATATTCATCATTAGGTGGAATAATAATAATAATTAAATAAATAATATTATTACTACATTTTCAATTTTAGAAATTGAAATTGGCTTTAATTATTAGGAAATGAGGAAGCGGAGAGAAATCAGAGAACCACAGCCATTAGGAATGAACATCAAAACTGAATTAACTGCTGCAAGATTGCGATGAGAATCAATCACTCAGTTCCAATTTTGATTATGTATATTAGTTTCTCACCTAAATCTGGTTCCGCGTCTGTGGTAGGAAATCTGGAAAAGTTTCTGGATTTAAGTTTTGAACCTTTGGAAAATGCAAATCTGTCTCTGAAATCCAACTAATGATTACATTTCGGAGCTTTCATCTGATATAAACTCAGACAACCCACGATCGTCCCTGTAATCTACAACCAGCGAAGAGTTCAGAGTTCCAAAATCTGTGTATTTCTCCACAGAAATGTATCTGCAGATGCAAAAGAAACAACTTAGCACACATGTCAAACAGGAAATAGAGGAATAGAACAGAACAGAAAAAAACTCTGGCTTAATTCCCAACCTTCAAAAACTGGAAAATCTTCACCACCTCTTAGTTTCACAATGAACCACGGAAACCTTCACAAAATCTGGCGAAAAAAAGCATAACAGGATTCAATTGTAAACGTAGAACGAAATTCTTATAAACTCCGACAATTAAACTATGTGTAAACAAAAATGAGCCAAAAAAAAAAATCCAATTCGGGTTCTTCTCCGCGACACAAAAAAAGAAAAAGAAAAAGAAAAATTGAGACCGTCTGAATGGTAAACCTCATTCTATCTCGAAAAGTGGCAGATCCTCAACATTCAGTTATCGGAATTAGTCTTTTAAATTCCAGAGTTGGGTTTAGCAGAAAATGGTGAGAGCTTGAGATAATGGGAAAAAGAGAAGATGGGTAGAAGATGGAGCTGCTTCTTCTTTTTGTTGTTGTTGTGATCAAACGAAATGGTGTTTTTCCATTGTAGGACCTGTTTATATACATCTTATACTACACTACTTTGCACCAACCGTCCACTTCCCAAGTTGACAACCGTAGATCATTAATCTAACGGCTATCCTCAAACCATACACGGTCACCCCGTACAAACCCGTTACGGTGTTCATCTTTGCCCTTACGCTGTTAATGTTTTTTCACGACGTCAAAGCAGATTAACGGAATCTGTAGAGTCGTCAGATCCCATTCATTATTAAGTGCTCTTATATTTGAATAATTTAGAGTTAGCTAAATTTTAAATAATAATATAAGTACTAAAAGATATGATATAATCTACCCAAAAATAAGATATGATATAAGAGGTAGGATCCTTTGATCTCATCTGAGAGCCATCAGATCAAAAAAGATCAATGGAGTCACATGCTTGCAAATAAGAGTCGTTGATCTTTTTTGATCTGACGGCTCTCAGATGAAGTGTCAAATTTAAAATTTGACACTAGTGTCAAAAGATCCTACCTCATGATATAAACCTCAACTAAAAAATTCGCAATATAATTTTTTTTTTTTTTTTTTGTCTCTCTCAATTGAGTTCATCTCATTCCCGCGCCCAGAGGGGATACCTTTGGGGCTAGGTGTAGAAAGTTAACTAGGGTTAGTTAAACTGGTCTGCGATTGGTTATATATTAAAACCAACGGTTATCTGAGACCTGGTAACTACGGATTTGGCTTTATGACAGTTCTGTTCTGTTTGTAAATGTTCGCTGTTTATTTGAACGCATAAATGAAAACTAAACTTGAATCTAGTAACTACGGATTGACCAAATACTATTGCAACTTTAATTTGGATTTCCAGGAACTTCATAAATCCCTTTTTATCAAACATTTAAATAGATATTTAAATCTTTTAGATTTCTCGGCAAAAAAATTAAAATAATGTAATTAATTAAAATAATTACACATTTAATGCTGTTTTGTTAAAAATTACATATCTGTTGCACCATGTGACGCCCAAAGAGGGCGTCTCATGTGCAACCTATATATACCCCACTTTCCTTTTTTCACTTCTTACTCATTTACCTCTCTAACCTCTCTCCAACCTCTCTCTAACCGCGGTTCGTAGCGAAGCTCTGCCAACGTAGGTAAGATCATAATACCTCATATGTATACATTTAAATTACAGTGCTAGTTAGTAATACATGTTAGGATTGATTGTATATTAGAGAGTTTGAACATTAGGATAGTCACTTAGAAATTTTGTGTCATGCTATGAATGTTGTAATGATATAGTAATATTATTATTACGTAGTTATTATTATTATCGATTTTTAATTATGTATTAGGGTTTATAATATTAATTAGTGATTTATATATAGTGTTAGAGAATTTGTAAATTTCGTATGTATGATGTTATTAATGCGGGAGTGCATAACTTTGTAGTTAGTTGAGGATAATGGCTGAGTCATCATCTTCTTCGGGATCTGATTCAGATGTAGAGCCCACCGATCCCAGCATGTGGATCGTACCTGGACCGTACAAGTGGGAGGTCCTTCAGCAGAGGACGCAGAAAGGTCATATTTCACAGCGAGTGTGGAATACTGAGCATGTAAGAAAGATTAAGACTAGGCGTGGGAAGCCACAAGGGGGCCCACCTACCGGTGCTATTCCACAGGTTGTGGAAGAGTACCTCAGACAGACGGGTTTCATACATGTTGCCAGGATGCAACATATCCAGGTATGTTATTTATGTCGTTTTGTATTTATGTAATTATTTAATAAAATTCGTTAACACGTGATAACTGCGTAATTTATCACAGATAGATACATTTTTAATTAGTGCTCTGGTCGAGAGGTGGAGACCAGAGACACATACCTTTCACAGGACCCAAGGTGAGATGACGATCACCTTACAAGATGTGGCAGGCATCTTGGGCTTGCCGACCGACGGTACTGTCGTCATCGGATCGACCTCTGAGGATTGGCACGCTGCTTGTGCTGCTGTTTTTGGACATGTTCCAGAGGCCGGTGAGTTCCATCATTCTGGCGACCTCCGCATCTCATTCTTGGATCGACATTATACCCGGTGGACTGATCATGAAGGGAATCATGCTGCCGAGATCTACTTCACAAAAGCCCACATTGCCCGGATGTTGGGGACTTGGTTGCTGGCGGACAAGTCTGGAGGTAGCAATTTTGGTTGCCGGCTTGTCCCGTTGCTAGGTGGAAGATTTGAGGACATTGGCCGATTCAGCTAGGGATCTGCTGTTTTGACACACTTGTTCAGGAATTTGTGTGAAGTGACAGATGCCCGTCGAAGCGACATGGGTGGTTGCCATATTCTCCTTCAAATTTGGGCATGGATACGATTCCCACCCATTGCTCCACCCCTTCATCCTCATCCAGAGCCTGGCACACATTATGGATGCCGGTATGATTTATTTACTTCATTTGATTTCGATAATGTATGGTTAATAATGTATGTACTAACTGTATACTTCTTGACTTTGGACGATTATGTATGGTTGATAATGTTTTTGATTGACAGGTTTAATGTTGTACAAAAGTTTAAACCTCATGAGGTCACCCATTATCGGGCAACATTGGACACACTCTGTAGAGATGAGGTTTGGTGTTAGATACTTACGGTGTTGTTATTTGTCTATGGGTTTATTTTTTTTGTAACTCTATATATTGTTTCACATTTTGTTTGTAGGTGGTGTGGCAGCCATATATAGAATATGAGTGGCTTGACGTGACTCCAGAGCAGCAGTATCTGTGGCTTGCTCCCACACCTATTATCTACGTCCACACAGTTGAGGCATGTCAACCGGATAGGTGCATGCGACAGTTCGGTCTTAATCAACCCATCCCGGAAAAATCTAGAAAATTGAGAGGAATACATGATCATACTCTACGGGGGAAGGTTGAAGAGAACTGGAGACGTAAGCTCAGGGCTCACATTGATCGATGGAATACTAGGATTCAGCATATTGTACTGCCACCTCCATTATATGGTTTGATGTCATCATGCGTACATGGAGTGGTACAGAGAGAGGGGAAAACGCTACATATCTCGAAGGGCAGCAAAGATAGGGTGCATGGTGAGTTTTGTACTTATTTTACATTTGTTTCACATTTCTAACATTTTTTTCGTAATATGCAGATTGACAGTCTTGAAATGCTGTATCATGCAACAACGGCGGAGGAGTTTCCTCGATTTGGACTACAGTATATCCACGAGGAGATAAGCCGGATTATTGGGATGTTTCGTGAGAGTTCACGAGTTGATGAGCCTGGACCTGAGGCACCCCCCGTGCAGACTCAGTCTGATCCTCAGTTGATCGTGGATGTTCCTCGTAATAGACGGGATGGACGCGGATTAGGACGTACCCGTGAGAGAGTTGCTGCTGAGCCTGTCCCGATTATGGCACCTAGACCAGTGGTCGAGACTCAGGGATGGTTTAGACCTCCAGCATTTGGTCCTACTTACGGGTCACAGCCGATTTATCATCACGGATCGCAGTATGCGACAGGTCCTAGTCAGGCGGCGTCTGAGCACCCTTACATGAGCGGGCAGGAGCCAGTTTTCCAGGCTAGTCCGATGGCTATGGCAGGAGCGGATCCGGCATCCTCACAGCCTGATTTCCAGCCCTATTCATAGGGACTTGATGCCGATTACCCCTTTTGGTCTGCAGAGGACACGATGGAGTTGTATCGCTCTGTAGGCCTTGTTGCAGAGAGCCATGACAGTGGGGAGACTCTAGCCACGGATTCTCACAGTCAGGGACACACCCCTTTTGATGTGCCGGGCAGCAGTGCAGGACCATCAGATGATTTCATCCGTGCGGCGATGGATGACTTCCACACTCCACCTCCACAGGAGCATCAGGGTGACCCAGTATGGGACAGACGTATACTGCCAGATAGGGATGCACGACATAGGCCATGGCCACCGTGGTCCTAGTTTCATTGATATTTTGTTTATTCACTATGTTGTGGACTGTTTCATATTGTTATTATTTTGTTCTTTTGTATATGTCATATGAGTGTAGCATGTTGTTATTTTGTGGACGCTACATTATTATATTATTTGGACTATTCACTATGCGTTATTATTTATGTTTTGGTTATCGTTCTTTGCGCATTTATATTACGGTAACTAACAACATCAACTAATTAATAATACAAGATTAAAAACATACATAAACGGAAAGTAAAAAGTCCAACATAACGGACATTGCAATTCATGCAATAACATAACCAACAGCAAAATATGAACATAATATGCAAATCATTCGTTTCTCCCACGACTTGGACATCGCCGACGATTATGGCCGCGTTCCTTGCAAAGTCCACACCTGATACGGCTCTGGCTTGTCTCAACTTCATCCATCTCGTTGCGGATGCGAGTTAACTTTGGACGACCTTTTGCACGCAACATAGTAGAATCAGGAATAATCTTTGCACCACTAATTTCAGGAATTGCTTCCTCGTTTCCGATTGGCTCCCACGGAAAAGAATAAGCCTCGACCAAGTTAGTTATCAAGAAGACGTCGTCAACGTAAGTGAACACACTCTGCCTAACACTTAACGCAGCAGCAACGGCGTGACTACATGGATACTTAAAGGCCTTAAACTTTCCACACTGACAGTATCTCTGTGGGAGGTTGACAAAATATGAACGTTCTCAACCTGCATCAACCTCGAATACAGTATGTTCAACATTGTATGCACGAACGTGGTGGCCTGTTGCATCTACCTGGTTCTTCTTGACCAATTCAACAACATGTTTGGAGTGACGATAAGCTGATTGAAGTTGTGCAAGAGCATTTGTTCTTCTCTCAACAAAATATGCAACCAATCTGCTATATGTATGCTTAACCAATGCTGTTATGGGCATATTTCTGGCCCCCTTCAAAACCCTATTGACAGATTCAGCCAAATTTGTTGTCATATGACCGTACCTCCGTCCTTCAATATCGTAGGCACGCGA